TTAAAAAAAAACCACAATTGTTTTATACCAAGTCAAAATGAAGAATTTCACCAAAAAGAACTGCCACGAAAGTAATAACCGTTGAAAGAGGTACAAGAGTAGATCTTAATTAATATATTGAGCAAGGAATTTTAATGTGATTTTGTGAATGAGGTTGGATAAAAATACCTAAAACAAATTATTAAAAATGAATTCAATCCACATCGGCACTCTTTTGTATTGGTTTGATTCGAACTACTTACATCACGAGATTTGAATTTGGTTACTATTGTTAAATTATATTTTTCGTTTTGTTCAATATTTTTCTAAATCGATTATAACGCCAAATTAATCAAGTATTTTTAGATATATTATGTTTATACTTTTAGAGATCATCAAATGCCACTAAATGCTAAATCGGTTCAACGCTGATAGACAGCGTTCGGAAAAAAATGCACCTCATCACCCTTTCATCAAAACTTAAAAACAATAGTGTACAACCTATACTCACCAACAATACGGTGTTGCCAGTCATCATTATCATCATCATTACAGCTCTTCACAAGTGAACTGCTGAACATAGGCCTCACCCAAGGAATGCCACAAAGCACGGTCTTGAGCCACCTGAATCCATTGACTTCCTGCATGTCTTACCAGGTTGTCACTCCATCTATTGGGGGGTCGCCCAACACTTCCCTTACCGGTACGAGGTTGCCACTCGAGAATCTTTTTCCCCATCGGTTGTCGGTTCTTTGAGCTAAATGACAGGCCCATTGCCACTTCATCTTACTAATCCGTTGGGCTACGTCGGTCATTGAGGTTCTACTGCGGATGTCCTCATTTCAAGTTTATCACACAGAGAAACCTCTAGCATAGCCCTCTCCATAGCTTGCTGAGCGACATTGAACGTCATCATACGGCCAGCAGTGAAGGACCACGTCTCAGATCCATAAGTCCTTACTGGCAATACGCACTGATTGTACAACCTCGTTTTTAGGTTTGAAGTATACCAGACGAGAAGATATTATCTCGTAATTTTCTGAACGCTGCTCAGCCGAGTTGGATCCGTCGATTGACCTCCCGTTCGAAGTTGGACTTACCTAGTCGGATTATTCGTCCCAGTTAAACATACTCGTCAAATACTTCAAGCTTAGTGCTCCCAGCAACTACTGGCATAGGTGTGACATTATGTGATTACACATGATCTTTGTTTTGTCTATGTTTATCTTAGCACCTATCCGTTGGGAGACACTATGAAGGTCATTGAGAATAGTGCTTAGATTTTCTAGCGATTCTGTCATAAGGACTATATCGTTGGCAAATGGAAGATAAGTGATATACTCGCCATTAATGTAAATACTGTATCATTTCGAAACCAGTAGCTTGGAAACGTCCTCCAATGCGCAGTGAAGATTTTCGGGGATATAACGGCACTCTGTGGTACACCTCTCTGCAGTTGGATAGGTTTCGTAATCTGGTTCTATACTCGGATATCTATCGCAGCCCTACTGTACACTTCGATGTACCGACAGCCAGCTTAGCACCGCTGAAGGGACTAAAGCACCGCTTAATTTTCGACAGCATCAATGGCTTTCTCATAGTCTACATACGCAAGGCAAAGTGGTAGATTGTACTTTTAGGTCTTCTGTGCAATTTGCCTAAGAGTATGTATGTGGTCTATGGTGCTAAATCCTTTTCAAAAACCGACTTGTTCGAGTGTTGGAAGTCGTCGCTTTCGTGACGATTCGTAATGGCTCTAGAAAACTAGACGCTATCGCGGCTCAGAAGGGAAATCGGTCTGTAGATCTTCAAGAAAGAACTGTTGCCTGTCTTGAAAGACAAGACCACCGCACTTCTGCCCTACACCTCCAGAGTAGTTTCACCTAGAAGGACGGAATTATAGAGCTTCTGAAGGAATCCAAGTACTGGTATTTCACCCGCTTTCAGAAGCTCCGCTGTAACTCCATCCTCGCCTGGGGCCTTGCCGCTTTTAAGATGCTGGAGAGCTATCCTAATCTCGCTAAGATTGACGTCCGAGATATCATCGGAATAGTGTCGAATAAGAGTTGCTCTTGGAACGTTACTCACACTTGCGTGTGGCTTCAACAGTAGTACAGCTGCCCATAGATCCTCTCAATCTCACTCAAAATCTCTGGGGTCTCGGAAACGATGCTGACTCGATCTTCAGCTTTGAAAGCTGGCGCTTTCTGGCAGTCAAATCTCTGGCAAATACTAAAGCCTTGATTCCGCTCGATCGTTTCCTCAATACAAGTAGTATTGAAGTTGCGTAAGTCCCGGCGCACTTGGAGATCTGCTTGTTCAGCTGTCTATAATATGTTAAATCTGCTGAAGACTGCAGCTTCATTTCCTATCTAACAGTCATGAGTATAAGAGTGTGATCGGAGAGTATTTGTGTTCTTCCACGGCGAGTCTTGCAGAACTTAGTTCCAACCGCATGGATAATTTTCATGAGCTAATCATTCATATCGTCCACTGCATTGGAGCTGAAAGGTTTTAGGACTTTGGATTAGAGCACAAAGGGGTACGGAGGGTTGACTTCGTTAGATGTGACCTCTCTAGCTTAATGGTAAGTATGCCTCTAAACATTTGGTGATCGCTGCCAGTTTTCACCCTCGTGATCACCGAGAAATCACTAATGTTGCCGTCTGGTCGTCAAAATGAAGTCAATCTCATTTTTTGTCAAAACGTCGGGGCTCGACTTTGGAAGAAAAAGTTCATCATAAAAAGTCCCTGTTTCTCAATGAAGTCGGTCTGCAGCTGACCGCTTGGGTTTCGTTGCTTTATTTCAAATTTCTCAACCTTCAGCTCACCGTTCTCTCCTGTGCCTATTTTTGCATTGAAGTATCCCATAAACGCCATATAGTAAATTTTGGAGGAATGAATAGCTTTAGAGTTGTTCTCGTACATTTCCTCCACCTCCTCATCGGGATATGCCGAGGTCGGCGCGTAAATCTGTATGACCTTTAACGAATACCACTTGATGCTTCTGATTATACGGTACGTAACCCTCGTCGACACACGTTTGCAACGTTGTTAACGAGATACTTGTGGACAATAAATCCGACACCTCCTTGGGACAGATGGTCGCCCTTCCGTTGTTAGCACAAGTTGCCAGATTTGAGGATTATCATATCCTCCTCCTCTCTTAGGACAGCTCCAGGATCTTCTCATCAGTACTCAGGGTGCGTGCTTGAAAAGTTGCCAGGTTGATTCGTCTTAGGTGGTAACCGAATCTCCACCGGAGATTCTTAGCACCCCCTGCCCCGTCGTACCATGGTCGCTATCGTAACCAGGAATAGCAGGGCCCCCACGGACTGGGGCCCATCTCTTCGTAACTCTCATCATGAGGGGATATTTGCCATAAGCGGATTGTGTTACCAGTGACGATATAAAAATCTTAGATGTTGTCTTTCACCCTTGGCCTCATTTGGAAGCACAAGTTCGCTCAGCGAGCTGTAGAAAGATTTATGCTCTGTGTTTCTCTATGTGATTGTGGCCGTGGAGGAAAAAGGGGAGATCTCCCGCCGGGCAAGGTGTTCTGCCCGGGGAGCGGCTTCACACTCCGTGTGATAGTTCGGAGATGTTCTATATATACTGTTTATGATTCGGAATGTTGATAGCGTGATTTAGGCTTCGGTGTATTTCGCTTGTGGCGCGACGACAGCGCCGCCACATCACCCCCTGCTCAGACTGGAGGTCGATAGTGCAGTCGAGTTGTCGACGAATGTGCAAGTGCCAGGAGATTGCCTTGTAGTCTGCGGTGAGTCGAGAAGAAGGCAAGTAATCTGCGAGAGTGCCGTGAAGCAGAGGCGAGCAGTAAGGCTCAGAGCCGTGCCGAACACTGTATGGCGCAGAGAGTAGCTTGAAGGAACAGGAAGCATTATTATTCCAATGCTGCGATGAACCTTGTGAAGCTAGATGGCTTGCAGGATATGAAGACTGCAGACGATATCTGCTCGGGAGCGATACGGTGGGGTATTATATGACGATGATGAAGCTTGAAGTTTCCGAAGGTTGTTTGGTTGCGTGTTCAGATCACGTCGGGGTCACCACTGTGGCCGTGGAAGGAAAAGGGGAGATCTCCCGCCGGGCAAGGTGTTCTGCCCGGGGAGCGGCTCACACTCCGTGTGATAGTTCGGAGATGTTCTATATATACTGTTTATGATTCGGAATGTTGATAGCGTGATTTAGGCTTCGGTGTATTTCGCTTGTGGCGCGACGACAGCGCCGCCACAGTGATAGAATTCGTAATGAAGATATCTCTTGATAATGATTACGAGGATTATGATAAAGAGGGAAGAAAGTTTCTTGAGTGGCAGCCTCACACTGCTAAACGAAGCGTAGGGCTGCTTCTCACTGATTGGAGTGAAGACCTCGTAAGATATGCAGGAAGGGGATATATGCTTATAATAATGAATGGGCTTATGATGTTTGTAAAAAAAATATTAAAAACTAAAATAAATAAAATATTTTAAACTTACCAAATCGAATTGTTTTTCATTATAAGTATCTATGTTCTACACTCAGAATATAATCCAGGTTCGCCCCCACCAGTCCCTTTCTACTGTCATTTAGTGAGAATAGAGACAGAGAGCGATTTTAAGTTTTTTTTTTCATTTTGATATTTTTTAGTAAGGCCGCTTATGTTCATGGAGTTTGGTGCATTAATGTTATTCTCTTTTGACTATTAATAAATAAATTAATATTATGCAGATTCAATTAAGTTCCGAGTGGAATTGGTTAAGAGATGTTATAATTGTTTCTTCTCGAGATATGTGAGACGAAAAATAGCATTATATGCGTATAAATATATTTAAAAAAATAGTAGAATCAAATTTAACACACTTTAAAACGTTAAATACATATATGTATTTTTATTGTAATTAATACTCTCAAATATTTAGACTTATTGCAACAAATTATATTTGAAAAGTTCTAAATATACCCACTTAATCTATATTATTTTCCTATACTTTCTATGTTATTATTACAACACTTACCATGGCTGACGCAACTCAGCATCAATACCCCAATAACTTGCGCCAACATCGTGCTAGCCTTACTGCACTGCGGTTGCCAATGTAGGAGCAGTGTCTGGTCTGTGTCGCTTCATTTGTGTAGATATAACGATGCACTGTGAACTATCACTTTACGAACACATTTGCAGTCGTTCCTTTTTTAAATCATTCACTTAATTTTCAATCAAAAACACTCTCACAACACTATCACTTGCCAGGGAAAGTCGCAGATATCTGAAAGAATCAAATTTAGGATATTAAAAATTTTGAATGGTGATGACATGTGTACATTTGTGGTTTATTATAAGATTATGTAAAAATAAGCAAATTCATTTATCATTTTGAAACATATAGATGCCAGTTCTAATTTTTATATTAAAGTGTCATAAGTTCAAATAGGTATTAGTCGCAAGCCGATATCCAATCAACCAGATCCAATCAATTCAAATTCTCTAAGTAAAAGCAGGTAAGTAGTTACCTATTCGATTGATATGTAAATGAATGAATTAATACGATATCCTAATAAAATACGGACAGAATTAATTTCTAACAAATTTACAACACACACGTTATTAGTACTCGTAATAAAAGCCCTGAAAAGTCATCTGAAATTATGTAGTAATTCACTATACACTTATATTTATTTATATATATTATTAATATATATTATTGACTGCCTCGTTGGTCTAGTGGTTGTAGTACAGCGACTGCTGATCATGAGGTCCTGGGTTCAAATCCCGGGTCGGGCCAAATAATTCATTATTGAGTTTTTCCGTCAAGAAAGTCTCAGTAGTTGCCCCGAGTCAGGAAGTTGGCGGTGTCTCACCCCCGTGCCTCAGAAATCACGTAAAGCCGTTGGTCCTGCACCTGATCTCTCTCCGGTCGTGTCGGTTTACCGTCCCATCGGATTATGAGAGTGATGGAATAGAGAGTGCACCTGTGCTCTATACTATATCACGCGGGCACTATAATCCTGTCCTGCGCCGATGGCTAGTCTTCGTTGAGGCAGGCCGCCGTGGCCAAAATTCGGTCTGGAGGACATTATTATTATTATATTTATTTAATACTAGCTATCCGCCCTAGCTTCGACCGGGCGATTTCTGGATCTCGACAACACTCGTGAATCCAGGGACCTACTCAAAAACACACACACACACACACACACACAATTTTTTCAAAATTGCTCGAGCAAATTTCATGCTCGAGCAATTTTGAAAAAAACGAGAGACTAACGAACGGCATTTGATTTAAAAGTACATTAAAGGTACATTTCTTAGATAATAAACCAAAAGTTTTTTTTTGTTTATTTAAACACACCGATCTTTAAAACGACCATCTGATTTCAAAAACTATTTGTGTATATGATAACCAAATTCATGGGGAAAGGTATAAGGCTTTATCCGCGCGCGCTCGTATAACGGCCCGTAAATACAATGTCCTACAAAAATATTGACAGTTACTGCATCTAAACAAAAATCCGCGATTCCATATGACTATTTCTTAAACATAAGCTAAAATATGGTATTTTGTGACAAAAGTGACATGTCGCGTATATCACGCTTGTAAATCCTCGGGGCACAGCTAGTTCGATAGAAAACGTTCCATGATGATTGATACCTTACTACCGTCCGTACCGTACTCAACGAACGTAACTGACTTACCGTTTTCATAATTATTTTTTTTTTATCTCTAAAACTGTTTCAACAAAACTATTCAAATAAATCTTCGATGTCAAACGAACGGTTTATGGCAGCTCGAGTGCCTGTGAATGTTGTTTTATCTTTATACTATTTATTTTAATAACTACCGTACGATTAATTTCTCCATGTTAGAAAAATTTACTTTTAATCGCTAGGTCATTTTATTTGGAGTCATTTTGTCTCCTAATAAAATGACCTAACAAATAAGAGAACTAGTGTACCTGTTGAGCATTTCTTAAGTCTTTCGAAGTTCGGATAAACCGTATATTTCGAATCATATATATATATATATATATATATATATATATATATATATATATATATATATATATACTCGTTATTCGAATAAATTTGGTATATGCCATAGTAAATAATAAAAAATATGTGACGATAGACTCATTCTTTAAGAAAAAGCGTTAATTCACACTTCCAATACTTTACTAAAGTATTCATGAACTTCAATTTAAGAAAAGTACTCGTTGGAAGCTTTTTTAAAGTCAAGATGTATTTCGTTACAGTCTTATAACCATAGATATTTAAGGTGGGATTTAGGGTGGGAACAATAGTGGGACATATAACCAGAACGGTATAAAACGTTAGCAACTTCAGATTATCCGAAGAACGGATAAAACAATTATGAGAATCTCCTAGGTACTGAAATTTAGATTTCATGAACTCAGGAGCACCAGGATCGTTTAGAATAGTGAGAAGAGTGCACAGTATCTGCGCTGACGGATAAGCAGTCAGTTAAGCTGAGTACGAAAACAAGATACAGGGTCACAGTTACGAAGATCAAAATGTACCTGATGCAGTTGTTTGGAGACGATACAGTGTGTTCAGATGCTGTTGAGATAGGCCTAAATAGCACACATTGACATAGTCTGTGATCGGCAGAATAAGAGATTGAACAAGCAAACTTTTGAAGCGGTTGAAAGAAAAAATTTCAGGTGATAAAGGGATCGAATTTACGGCTTTGATCCTGAATCTGCTTGTTCCATGAAAGACAGCTATCAACGTAAAGACTGAAATTCTTAACATGTGGAGAGTATGGGATGGCATAGTTGTACAAAATGAACCGCAAAGTGGAGATATCCAATTTGGATAAGTATTTAGAGCTCTAAATGATCGCTTGACATTTAGAAGACTTATCGTTAATTCCAAACACAGTAGAACATTCAAAGGTATAATGTAAGGGTAAAATGTCTTCGTTTAGTAATGCTATTCAATTATTAATATTGGATGGTCCCATCTGTGCATATAATTGTAGAGTATTGCCATACGGATGATAAAAGCACTTAAGGTTTAATGTCATAAGATTGATAAAAATTGAAAATAGAAGAGGTGAGAGAATACCGCCTTGAGAGACATCGGTTCAATCACATTATGGCCAGAACGCACAGCCTATTGGAACCTTCGAAGATATCATGAGAATAAATCCTGGGCTGAAGACGAGAGTGAGAGAGTAGAGCTAGCAAAATAGAGTGATCGCCGGTATTAAAATCGTTAAAAAAATCTAATAAAATACGAACTGTTAATTTAGAATTTTCCATAACATCTCGAATATCTTCAGTAATCTTGAAAATATCGGTTGTTGTGAGTTACCCGAGGCGATATCGATATCGAGACTGATATTATGAAAGAATGTTGGTTTTGAAAATAAAAGTAGAAAATTGTCTAAAAGTAACAGCTTCTAAAAGTTTAGATAAAAATTTTGCGCTTTTATTTATCACTCCATTGTCAGAAAAAATATGATTAAAAATGCAAAACATGGAAGAGTCATACAGCAGTTTTATTATAACGAAAAGAAATAGTCTCTAACAGATACCAGCATAAAATAGCAGCTAAATTGTGTTGCTGTATTTCATATGATAAGTATAGAGAACCGGAGATCATTTTTAATGGAAAAGAGTTCCAGTAAAAACTGTATCCGGTTCCATTTCATCTTGTTCTCAGGGAAGATAACGCAACTGCATTTTGATTCTTAATCTCGAGTAGATGTAGTTAGACATATATTAGATAGACCGCATGCTAATTTATCACCATTATTCTATAAAAAAATTACCATTATTAACTTGTTATAAGAATAATATCGTAATAACCTTATTTGGACGTTTGGAGTAATTTTAAGGTCAAACCTTAGTAGACAGCGTCTGGTGAGTGTGCAGTATGGCGTTCTGACAACCACACAGTTGTAGTGCAATGTCCTAAGTGACGATTATTTAGGGCCCTCTTAAACTGACTGATATTCTAATCCCGCGCGTTATAAAGTAATATTTTATACCGGAGGATGCGGTCGCCAAGTGTATTTTTTATTTACGAACTCACGAAAAAATTATTCACGAAAGTTACTAGAGAACCAGATCCTAAAGAAAGACAGATCATTTTAAATTTTCAATTTTAACAAAAGGCATAGCTTCTGACTATTTTTTCATAGAGATAAATGCATCACACCGCTTTTTTAGGGTTCCGTTGTCAACTAGGAACCCTTATAGTTTCGCCATGTCTGTCTGTCCGTCTGTCCGTCCTCGCTTAATATCTGTGACCGTTAGCACTAGAAAGCTGAAATTTGGTACCAATATGTGTATCAATCACACCGACAAAGTGGTAAAATAAAAATTGGAAAAAAAATGTTTTATTAGGGTAGCCCCCCTATATGTAAAGTGGGAAGTGATTTTTTTTTAATTTCAACCCTAACGTGTGATATATTGTTGGAAATGTGTTGGAAAGGTATTTTAAAATGAATAGGGGTTTACTAAAATCATTTTTTGATAATGTCAATAATTTCGGAAATAATCGCTCTAAAAGTAAAAAACAATGTGTCCCCTCCCCTCTAACTTTTGAACCATAAGTTTAGAAAATATGAAAAAAATCTGAAAAGTAGAACTTTATAAGGACTTTCTAGGAAAGCAGTTGCAGGAGCGCGGAGCGCTGCTGGAGCGCGAACATAATGGATACCCACCTTTAAACTCATAGGTGGGAACACTTATTGTGACGGACGGGAAACTACGGAACCCTACACTGAGCGTAGCCCGACACGCTCTTGACCGGTTTTATTTAATGGTAGTATCGTATGGACTATAGACGTCGTATGGACTTCAACTAAGAGGGCAATACATTCATAGTCTTGGTTGTTTGTTTTGTTTGTTTTGTTTGATTTTGTGTCCAGGTGTCCATTGACTAGTAGCCGTTACTGAAATTTTAGTTTCTTAGTATTTTTACTGTTATATTTATAACAAATATTATAAGCAAGGGAACATGTCTTCAGATGCGGAAGCGGTGCTCCGCGAAGAGGAAGCTATCTTGACAGACGGGTTGAGCGTGGCGCAGATGT